TTAGTCCATAGGCCTCCAACCTATCAAGCACTTTAAGAAATCTTTCTTCATGTTCCTTCAAGGTTCTTCCAAATACATTCAGGTCATCCAATAAACCAAGACTTGCAGTAAGTTCATGTCTCCCACAACTTTCTCCATAAGAAGTTGAAATGTGGCAGGTGCCCCAGAAATCCCTTGACGCATGCGTTCAAACTGATAAAACCCTAATTGGGCAGATGGAGGCTGTCTTCTCCTTATCTTCTCTCCCAGCAGGATCTGGTAGTATCCACTTCAGAGATCCAATACTGAGAACTACTGGCTCCCCAGCAAACAATCCAAGGCATCTTGTACTCGAGGCATGGTGTACTGGTCAACTACAGTGCGGCTGTTTAGGGTGCGGTAGTCAATACACATCCGGATTTTCCCATTCTTTTTATGGACCACCACAATGGGTGAAGCATACAGGCTGTGCGACTCAGTAATGTTGCAGTTCGCAATCAGTTCCTGAAGATGATGTTGCACATCTTCCATCTCTGAGAGAGCAGTCTTCCTAGATCTCTCCCTAAAGGGTCAGGAATCTTGTAGTCTGATGTGTTTCACTCTTTTTGCACATTCCACATCCTTCAGTTTCACACTGGGGCCTCACAGTGGTTTTGGGCTCAAAGAGGTCTGCTATTTTCTGCCCTTGCTTCACAACAACATCGTGGCTTGTTTCATTAGCTGTTACCCCAAGCATTCCAATACTGGCTTACTTGTAACCATACATTGATCCTCAATTTATTCTGCTAAGACTATCACAATAGAATGTAAAATTATATTAAAGAATCCTGTTGCTGTGGGAGACCATCCCAAAAACACTTCCCACCAACTATGTTTGGTGTCACTTTTTATACACTCAGTACGTTCAGTTTTTTTTATTAGAGTGGTGAACAGTAATCATAACCCTTTGGGCATTTTTCTGAGCTTTTTGTAGTTGTTTTTGCAATTCAGGATGATCCATTAATTGCTTAATCAAACTGGACCCCAGAGATAGTGGTAATCCTGAAATACATATATATTTTTAAATCAGCTATGAAGTCATCTTTTTTCAGCCCTGAGCTTCAATATATGTTAGGGAATTTTGTGTTTAGTATTTTTAGCAATAAAGATGTTGTAAGAATAGCACACATTGAAACTCTGAATGTTTTAAAAGCTTTATTGCTTTATTACTTTTATTACTTTTTCCAGAAACTTCACAAATAAAAATATTTGAAACTTTGTTTGATTTTTTTTTATTTGTTCTGGTTTGGGTTTTCATGACTTTTTAAACCATGGGCTAGCTCAGTGGTTCTGAAACTTTAGCAACCCGAGGACCCCTGTCATAAACATACAGCTAAGGTTATCATAAAATCGCTCCTTACCTGTAAGGGGTTAAGAAGCTCAAATACCTTACCTGTAAGGGGATAAGAAGCTGGTTGGCACCTGACCAAAAGGACCAATGGAGGAAGAAGATACTTTCAAATCTTGGGGGTGGGGTGGGGGGGAAGGCTTTGTTGGTGTGTGTTCTCTGGGGAAAGCAGAGAAGCATCAGGTCAAAAAAAAATCCTTCTCCTATAAACCATCCTGTACAAGTCTCTGATATTACAAAAAGAGTAAGTAAATAAGCAAGGCGCATTAGATTACCTTTTGTTTTCAACTTGTGAATTTTCCCTTTGCTAGAGGGAGGTTTATCCATTTTTTTGTAACTTTTAGGTTTTGCCTAGAGGGGAATCCTCTGTGTTTTGAATCTGATTACCCTGTAAAGTATTTACCATCCTGATTTTACAGAGGTGATTCTTTTACCTTTTCTTTAATTAAAATTCTTCATTTAAGAACCTGATTGACTTTTCATTGTTCTTAAGATCCAAGGGTTTGGGTCTGTGTTCACCTGTACCAATTGGTGAGGATGTTATTCTCAAGCCTTCCCCAGGAAAGGGGTGTAGGGCTTGGGGGAATATTTTGGGGGAATAGGACTCCAAGTGAAGTGGTCCTTTCCCTGGTTCTTTGTCTAAATCACTTGGTGGTGGCAGCATACTGTTCAAGGACAAGGCGGAATTTGTGCCTTGGGAAAGTTTTTAACCTAAGCTGGTAAAAATAAGCTTAGGGGGTCTTTCATGTGGGTCCCCACATCTGTACCCCAGAGTTCAGAGTGGGGAAGGAACCCTGACAAACCCCATTTTGATTTAATTTTTTTTGTGGACCCCCAACCCCCCCGCTCAGCCCCCAGGCCCTGCTTCCACTTCACCTACTCCACCCCTTTTCCCCAAAACAGCTGTTCCCCGGCATGCAGGAGGTGCTGGGAGGGAAGGGAAGGAGTTCACGGAGGAAAGGGGAAGAGTTGATCAGCGGGGCCCACAGACCCCCCTGGAGTGCTCTCAGTTTGAGAAACACTGGGCTAGCTGAAGCACTTAGTGACAAAAGCCTGCATCTAATATGAAAACTCGGCCAAAATTTTCAAACTTAGGTAATTAAAAACTATCAAAATGAACCTCATGGCCTCATTTATTGGAAGCCATCCTGGATGGTCCCTGCGGCTGTAGGATATCCAGGAGACAGAGTTGAGGGTCCTGGATCTCCTCCATCAGGATTTGCAGATCACTACCCACCCTCTGGAATAGATCTTGATATTGCCAGTAGTCATCTGGAGGAGAGGGCAGCAACAGGATGGCTGCATCATCCAGCAATGAGGAGGCTCTGATTGGAACCAGTGGTACCGGCTCCATGTCTTCCTCCTTGTACACTGATGGAACTGGCTGGTGAGATGGGGGCGGGGAAGGGGAATGGTAGGTCTCCTGCGATGGTTATTTTTCAATCCTTTCTTTATCCTCCAAATATAATTGTTGGAAACATAACTGTCAGTCATTGTTGTTCACCTCATTTGAGTATTATGGTCTGTAGTATTATGGTCTGTCTACTAAATATTATGGTCCGTGACCCTTAGCCTGTATGTATACTGAACATGCTTGCTTGACTTACTTTTCAGTGTCTGAGTGACCTTTAGCCTCCTTCTGTACTGAGCATGCTCCACTCTTTACTTGGATGCATGCCAATGTTCCACACATACCAAACTATAAACAATTGCTTCATTCCTACAGTATGTATATTCACATTCCAACTGTCAGTTTATTTACCTCAGTGTTATGGTTTGCTGTTACCACCTTATTTTCTTGCCAATTTAGCTTAGTTCACCTAACTCTTCCCCGTTTTCAGCTAATGATGGCAAAGTAATGCCTTTAGTGCTGTGCTTAAAGGAAAATAGAGTTGTCTCAAAGTCTTCGGTATCACCAGAGTCCCTTCAGTCTACCCAAAGTGTATTCAACTTTCATTCTGCACCTGAGACATTGTAAACAAGAAGCGGGCAGCATTATCTCCTGCAAATGTAAATAAACTTGTTTGTCTGAGCAATTGGCTGAACAAGAAATAGGACTGAGTGGACTTGTAAGCTCTAAAATTTTACATTGTTTTATTTTTGGATACAGTCATTTTTGTACATAATTCTACATTTGTAAGTTCAACTTTCATGATAAAGAGATTGCACTACATTACTTGTATTAGGTGAATTGAAAAATACTATTTATTTTGTTTTTTACAGTGCAAATATTTGTAATAAAAAGAAATAAAAAGTGAGCACAGTACACTTTGTATTCTGTGTTATAATTTAAATCAATATATTTTGAAAATGCAGAAAACATCCAAAATATTTAAATAAATGGTATTCTATTATTGTTTAACAGTGCAATTAACGTGATTAATTTTTTTAATCGCTTGACAGCCCTAGTTTTTATCTTTATTTTTCTTGTAAGCATTTCTGTCTTTAACGCCTCATTATTTTTACCCACTTAAAATCTCTCACTTTGTAAGTAAATAAACACGTTTTATTCTTTAATTAAAACTAATCCCGTGTTGTGAATCCCGTGTCATTTAAGGTAGCAGATTGTTGTATATTAATCCTCTTAGAGGGGCAATGGACCTAATATGTCTGGACTGTCAGGAGAGGCTGTATAGTGCAGAACATACTTTTTTGGGGGGAAATCTTGGGACCAGGGGCTTGTCTTCACTACCGGGGGAAGTTGACCTAAGTCAGGGGTCTCAAACTCGAATCACCAGGAGGGCCACATGAGGACTTGTATGTTGACCCGAGGGCTGCATCACCCCCCACTGCCCCCGCCCCCCCACTCTACCCCCACCGCTGCCCACGGAGCAGCAGGAGGCTCAGGGTAGGGGGTTGGGGTGCAGGAGGGAGTCCGGGGTGCAGCAGGGGGCTCAGGGCAGGGAGTTGGGGTGAGGAGGGAATGTGGGGTGTGGCAGGGGGTTGGGGTGTGGCAGGGGGCTCAGAGCAGGGAGTTGGGGTGCAGGAAGGGTGTGGCAGGGGGCTCAGGGCAGGGGGTTGGGGTGCAGGAAGGATTGTGGGGTGTGGCAGGGGGTTGGGGTGCAGGCAGGGGGCTCAGGGCAGGGAGTTGGGGTGCGGGCTGTGGGAGGGGTTTGGGTTCCAGCCCGGCGCTGCTGACCTTGAGTGGCTCTGGGGTGGCAGGGGCATGCACCAGGGCCAGGGTAGGCTCCCTGCCTGCCCCGGCCCTGGCCCCAGCCCCATGCTGCTCCACTCCAGGAGGCGGCGGACACCCTGTCCCTGCGGCCCCAGGGGGAGGGGGCGGAGAGAACTCCGTGAGCTGTTCTTGCCTGTGGGTACCTCCCCCAAAGCTCCCATTGGCCGCGGTTCCCCATTCCTGGCCAATGGGAGCTTCAGGGGAGGTACCCACAGGCAAGAACAGCTCAGGGAGTTCTCTCCGCCCCCTCCCCCCGCGGCCACAGGGAAACGGTGCCCGCCACTTCCTCAGCACCACGAGGCTGGTAAATCCATGGGCCGGATCCAAAGCCCAGAGGGGTCGGATCTGGCCTGGGGCCATAGTTTGCCTACCCCTGGCCTGGAGGTAGGCTGGGGATGCGGCGCGCTGGGGAGGGGATGGGGCGGGGCCGTGGGGAGCTTGGCGGGCCGCAGGGAAGAACCCCACAGGCCGCGTGTTTGAGATCCCTGACCTAAGTTATGTTACTCCAACTGAGTACCGGGGTTGACTGGAGAACGCTCTGTAGTCGATTTAGCAGGACTTCACGAGACCTGCTAAATAGACCCCTGCTGCATCGATTGCAGCAGTGTCAATCTCCCCATAGTATAGATCAGCCTTAGGAGTGTGTTGGGATCACTCTGAAAACAGTAACCAGGGCTGCTGGAAGCCAGATTTGCTGACAGGCTGCTGGAGTCAGAGCTGCTGAACCAGAGCAGTGACTATACACAGACACTCAGGATGTGACCTGCATGCTGTTTGTGAGGAGCTACAGCATCAAACCAGGGCAAGTGTTGAGCATAGGGTTGCCAACAGTCCCTTATTAGAAGGGAGGTCCCTTATTTTTTCCTCTCTGTACAACAAGATCGGGAGTTGCTGAGTGCTGCAAAAAGCAGCAAAAAACATGCTTGGTGAATGTAGGTGAGTACTGCTTATTAATTATTATTATTATTTATGATTAGTGATAATATCAGGAGGAGGGATGGGGTGGGGGTTCTAAGAAAAGAGTCCCTTAAATTTGAAATACAATATTGGCAACCCTAGGTGCAGGGCAAAGGGCAAGTGGTGACACAGACCCTCACTGGTCTGGATTGCACCCCGGAATGTCATACCCACCCTCCCGCACCTGCCCACCCACACGTGTCCCCAGCCAAATCTTGCTGATAATATGAAATGTTTTATGCAAATGAAGGGGGTTGACAATACATATCTGTAGATGCTCCTCCCTGCTGCGCTGTTCCTCTTGCTGCTGCTGCTGAGTCCATTGTATTTGCTGCAGGGAGGAGGTATGTGGTACATGTGGTAGGGGAGTCTGTAAGGGTTCTGGGAGGGAAAGGGCAGCATTCCTGAAAATATTTTTATTAGTTGGAATCTTCTGGAACAGCAGCAATTAAAAACAGAACTGAATGGCTATTGGTTGATTGAAATACAGGAGATATTTCATAATCTAGAGAGCATTCCAGAAGTAGTGAGACATTATTAACAGTGACATAAAATTATGCAGAGCCTGGAAAGCTAAAATAATTTGTATTGACTTTTTATTTTTACTAGACCCGATCATGGAAAAACTGTTAAAGCTCAGTGGAAGTTCTGTTCTTCTGAATACGTAACACATGTAGATAGAATGGCGAAACACTTGTTGAATTCTTGTGACATGTGTCCAGCTACTCTCAAACATAGCTTGTTGCAGTCAAACAGCAAGAAAGGGAAAAAATTCTGTGCATTCTCCTTCTACTTTGTCTTTGGCAACATCATCATGAAGCTTGGAGTCTACTGATGAAGATAGTGCCATGAGTGACAATGAAAGTGAAGCTAATTCCATTTCTTCATCTTCTAATAAGAATTTTGCTACTCCATTTTCTTCAGCATCAAAAACTACTCCTGGAAAGTCTTCAGACGTTCATCCAATTGGTATTAAGAGTTTTCGGGTAGAATGTCCCATGGCCAGAAAAACGAACTTGACTGTAGATTCATTAGGGGTATTTATGTTGGCAATACACTATTTCATATAGTTGAAAATTCTTATATGCTAGAATTTTTCCATCAGTTAAATCCAATTTGCCAAGTATCAAGTAGGAAATGGCTTGAAAGAAGTCTTCTGAATGCTGAAGTAGACAATGTGAAAAAGAGAGTTGGTGTTCTTATTGCACAAGCTCCTCACATGTCTCCAGAGTCTAATGAATGGCACAATACCCTCAAAGAGGGCATCATCAACTTCATGATAACAACTCCACAACCAATGTTTTATTCATTCCAATGTATAACTCAGCATCACCACATAGCCCGCATATTGCTGACAAGTTAAAAATATAATCAGTGGGTCCATGGAAAGTTATTTTGGTTGTGACCAACAAAATAGCTAATATGAAAGCCGTTTCGGACTCTGTTGATAAATGATTATCCCTAGCTTCTGTGTTACAGATGTGCTGCCCATAAAATGCAGCTTTTCACTCGTGATGTTGAAGATCTGACAACTTTCTCATCACATGTGTAAAAAGTGAAAAGCATTGTCAAGATTTTCAAAAACAAAAAAATACCAGCATCTGTTTTCCGGCGTGTTTTTTTTAAAAGTACTCAATTTCATCCACACCGAGTAAGCCTTGTTGTGCTTATCATAGAATCATAGAATCATAGAATATCAGGGTTGGAAGGGACCCCAGAAGGTCATCTAGTCCAACCCCCTGCTCGAAGCAGGACCAATTCCCAGTTAAATCATCCCAGCCAGGGCTTTGTCAAGCCTGACCTTAAAAACCTCTAAGGAAGGAGATTCTACCACCTCCCTAGGTAACGCATTCCAGTGTTTCACCACCCTCTTAGTGAAAAAGTTTTTCCTAATATCCAATCTAAACCTCCCCCACTGCAACTTGAGACCATTACTCCTCGTTCTGTCATCTGCTACCATTGAGAACAGTCTAGAGCCATCCTCTTTGGAACCCCCTTTCAGGTAGTTGAAAGCAGCTATCAAATCCCCCCTCATTCTTCTCTTCTGCAGGCTAAACAATCCCAGCTCCCTCAGCCTCTCCTCATAACTCATGTGTTCCAGACCCCTAATCATTTTTGTTGCCCTTCGCTGGACTCTCTCCAATTTATCCACATCCTTCTTGAAGTGTGAGGTCCAAAACTGGACACAGTACTCCAGATGAGGCCTCACCAATGTCGAATAGAGGGGAACGATCACGTCCCTCGATCTGCTCGCTATGCCCCTACTTATACATCCCAAAATGCCATTGGCCTTCTTGGCAACAAGGGCACACTGCTGACTCATATCCAGCTTCTCGTCCACTGTTACCCTTAGGTCCTTTTCCGCAGAACTGCTGCCTAGCCATTCGGTTCCTAGTCTGTAGCTGTGCATTGGGTTCTTCCGTCCTAAGTGCAGGACCCTGCACTTATCCTTATTGAACCTCATCAGATTTCTTTTGGCCCAATCCTCCAATTTGTCTAGGTCCTTCTGTATCCTATCCCTCCCCTCCAGCGTATCTACCACTCCTCCCAGTTTAGTATCATCCGCAAATTTGCTGAGAGTGCAATCCACACCATCCTCCAGATCATTTATGAAGATATTGAACAAAACCGGCCCCAGGACCGACCCTTGGGGCACTCCACTTGATACCGGCTGCCAACTAGACATGGAGCCATTGATCACTACCCGTTGAGCCTGACAATCTAGCCAGCTTTCTACCCACCTTGACGCTTGACGGGCATCTTCTATTAAATGTCTCAAAGATCTTCAGATATGCAAGAAGGTTCTTAATTCAGCAGCTGTTGAAGGAGGGGTTGCCAGAGGTTGCCCCCAAGTAATCTGCACTGACATTCTTGATGACAATGTCTTTTGGATGTGAAACTCAAAATTATTTCACTGCTTGAACCCATGGCTCAGTCCATTGAGAATATAGAAAAATGACAATTGTACAATGTCTGATGCCAAGAACGAATTCCTGAACTTTAAGAAATGTTTGTGGGGATACTGAAAACAGTCATAAAAGTTGAAAAGAAAAAAATAATAAAACAATATCATAGAAAAATTGAGTGATCTCTCCAACACATAATGCTGCCTACCTTCTTTATGCACACTTCCAGGAAGATGTTTATGATGAACCTGATTTCGCTTGTGAGTGCCTAGTGGCTGTTGCAAATTTCAAAGGATATACAAACAGTTCTGATGGAGGTAGCAAACTGTAAAACAAGAAGCAGCTTGTTCAGTCATAAAACAATGTGGAGTGCTATCCCAGCAGTTGAATCAAAACAGCTTACTCCATCAGGGTGAAAAGTGTTGTGGCCTCCTTGCAATCTAGATACAGTGGCAGAAATTCTTTTAACACTTCTGTGTATTACTGCGGGTGTGGAACAAAATTGGTCAGGCTGGGGAATCATCGATTTAAAAACCAGAAATAGACTGAAGACTTCTAACGACCGGGAAGCTGGTGACTGTGTTTCACAATTTAAGATTAAAGAAGAAAGTGGCAGATGAAGCACTGACTCAGTATTCATCACATGAAGAGGAAGAAGGGGATATTGATGGATTTGATGAAGATGACAACAAAAACACAGATGAAGCAGTTGAAGCTGATAAAGAAAGAGATGATGATGAAAATCAAGATGCTTGACAAGTTGGCCTGCTGTCTACTTAGCATAAATGCATTTTAAAATGAGATTTTTTTTACAGCTGCTATATGTTTGTTTTATTTCTCTTTTATGTAATTTTTCTTTTTTTTTTTTTTTTGGTAACTGTTCAGTCTTGAATGACATTCACAATTAAATCCTAACTTAATGTTGCTAAAATCAATTATAATAATTATTTAATATTTTAGAGCTTCATTTCATTGTGTTTTACATTTTTCTGAGTTAAAATAACTCAGTTAAATAACTTGTTTTTTGTAATTACGTATAAGTATCTATCTAAGGCTAAGATTATTGAAGACTATTACGTCTTTAAAATATTTGACCATTTTTTACATTACACGAGACCCTCACTAGAACGCGGGATTTGGGATCCATTAACGGTACCACGTTAACGCAGGGACCGCGTTATAGTGGGGACCACATTAAAATGAATTCCAATTAAAGTAATTAAATTTGGGATCCATGGCTGCAACCGCGTTATATGCAAATTCGCGCTATATAGACGCGTGTTCTAGTGAGGGTCCGGTGTATTTGACAATATTTGCCCGATGTTTTAGTGGACAATTGACCAATAGTTTTGGACTGGTCAAATGCCCAATCCTACTTTATTAGAATAAAGAAAACAGTATTACCTTTAAGTTGCTTGCTTTCTCTTTTGACTCAGTGTAGAACTGCTTAGGACCTTTCCCAGGGCCCTTTCGCTGTCTTCCTAGTATAGATTGAAAGAACCAGTGCATACTTCCTCAAAGGTGTCTTTTTGGTCTATAGCCTGTGGTTGGGTGCTCAGATTAGCACTTGGGTGAATATGAATGGTGTTTATATAGGTCCATATGGATATATTGACATGCTTCAGTGCTTATATGAGTATACCAAATGCTGGATTTGGACATTCAATTTAGGCATCACAGTAACTAAGCCAGTGGGATTGAACTGGGTTTGGCCCCAGGTGCATATGAGTAAGGGAAAGCTATGTCTAACTGCACTGTTTGCATGTCCTTGGAACCAGCTGGGAGAATTATTCAAAATATAAACATATGCATAATTATACAGCATGGACTTGTTTGTTCATGTGCACATATTTTAACAAAAACTCTGCAACCAACCCTAAGTTGTAAAACATACTGAAGCCATAAAAGGAATTTTTCTCCAATTATTATTATATGCATAATAATTATGTGCAAAATAGGCTAGTTATTCTCAATCCAATGAGCCTACAGCTGTTCTGCACTTCTTCTTGAACTATTGTACCATTTTCTATTTGGCTAACATTCCTTTAATTCTCCTACTTAAAATACTTACTTTATTTAATTTCAGAAACTATAAAGTGAACATTACCTGCTTTACTGACCAAATAATTTTAAGCAGAGAATAAACTGGAACAGTGTCCTTTTTTGAAACAACTGAATATAACACACTACAGCAAATTCTCTTGAATAGTATGAAAAGCTGCCTCATAGGAAAATATCTGTTTTTTTGGCTGAATATCATTGGGGATCCCTTTTGGTGTCTCAACAGCCACTCTTAAAGCAGCTAGAAAAGTGGATGTTGGACACTGCCATCATGGCATGAACTCTGTAGCAAATTCTGCTCTACATGGCCCAAGAGTAAGAAATTGTGACTTACAATTGAACCCAAGTCACCCTGCATAGAGGTACAGTGCACTTTCACCAGGTATGTATTGCAATGCATTATTGTTGTTTATGGAATACCAGCAGTATATAAAAGATAAAAGAGCAGAAGATGTGGACACTACTTCAACCAAGACCCTCACAATCTAAACCAGATAGAGCATAGTCAATTGCCAGTACCCCAAATGATAGTCCTGTCACAAAGTATCTTAGAGATCTTTTTAAAATGTTTCTTTCTTAAATGGTGTCATGGGAGTAGTATATACCTCGATAACATTCATCACTATGTATTTTTGACAGGTTTCCATGCCCCATTTTGGGCTTATGTCTCACCCTCCATTCCCATTTCCGTTGGTGTCAAGGTTTGGCGCCATCGGCCATTTAAATTTTTTTTTATGATTGTTAAAATTTTAAATTATGTTTTATGTTTGAATAGGGGGAATGTTGCGTGCTTGTGTTTTGATACATTTGGTTGATTGTTTAGAGAAAAAGGTTGAAAGAATAGAGTGAGAGAGTTTAAAGGAAAGGAGAGTTGTTTTTTTAAAAAAAGAAAGCTTTGGTTAGGTTTAGAAAAAAAAGGAAAGAAAATTTATTAAACAGATTGTTTGGTTAGGTTTAGTAAGGAGAGATGATTTTAAAGGACTAGTTTGGAATGTTATTAAAGAATAGAAAGAGACAACCTACAGAAAAATAAAGATTTTTGTTTTTAAAGGGTTAGTTTGAAAGAGTAGAGGCAAGTTATTAAAGAAAAGAAAGATTCTTGATCAGGTTTATTAAGGAGAGATGATTTTAAAGGACTAGTTAGGCATGTTATTAAAGAATAAAAAATTCTGAGATAAATTTAAAGGGTGTATTAAATATAAAGTTAGGTTAAAACAGAGCACATGGCAGAAAAAGGAATTTTATAAAGCGGAGACTGTTTAGTAAGCACCTGGTAAAAATATAAAGGTAGGTTAATAAAGAAATATTTTAAAAAGCTTTAAAATTCTAAATATAAAGGTAGGTTAAGAAAAGAGCATTTTAAAAGAGTTAGGAGTTATTTTAAAATAAATTAAATATTAAAAGAAAAAATATAAAAGTAGGTTAATAAAGAAACATTTAAAATATTAAATATAAGGGTAGGTTAAGACAAGAGCATTTAAAAATATTAAATAGGTTAAAAGAGCACGTGGCAGAAAAAAGGGAATTTTATAAAGTGGAGACTGTTTCGTAAGCACATTGTAAAAAATATAAAGGTACACAGCATTCCCCCTATTCAAACATAAAACATGAGGTTGTGTCCCTCTTACCCTGTATCCCTGGCTGTCTTGCAATGCTTTGCTACTGTAACTCTTTGTCTGGGATATTCACAATCAGCAACAAGCATGCAAGTCACCCATTGAGTGTCTGTGTATAACTGCAGCCCTGGTCCAGCAACTATAACCCCAGCAGTCATCACAATAACACATCAGTCACACTCTGGCTTCCAGCCATGATTACAACCAGCAAGGTGATCCCAAAACCACTTCAGGCCAGTCCCAAATTTTCCTCAAACGGTGTGCTCTGCAATGTCTAGCCCTCCCCTGGACAGTTCAGAGAAATAATAAAGTTTGTTTGTTCTTATAAATCTTTATTAGAACAAACAAAAGCACATTCCAGTTTATTAACTTAGCTGGGGTAAGTCTTCCCTGCAAAGACAACACTGAGTTGGTTTATAGTAAGATTAAAACAAATTTATTAACAACAGGACATAGGTTAAGTTATGCTAAGTAAAAGGAATAAAGTTAGAAAGGGTTACAGGCAAATAAAAGTGAAAACATGTATCTAAATGTCTACAATTTAGGGCTGATATACCCTTGGAACTTACATCAGCATAGCTGTAAGTCTTTCAGGGGTGTGAAAAACCCACACCCCGGAGGGATGGAGCTATGCTGACTTAGCCCCTGGGGTAGGCAGTACTAGCTCGGTGGAAAAATTCTTCCATCAACCTAGCTACCACCTCTCGGGAAAACGGATTACGCACGCTGACAGGAGAATCCCTCCCATCAGTGGATGTTGTGTCAGTGTGTGCAGCATTTTAAATCTAGCAAGGCACAGACTTTGTTCAAGATGGTTTCTCTCACCAGTCATTCTTCTTCCCAGCCATAGCTGACTTTCCCTCAGTCAGGACCTTACAGAAGTACCAAGAAGCTGGCTTCCCTTATCATACTAGATGAAAGCTCTTTGCCTAAGCTGGTGTCTCACTTATATTCAGTTTCCAGAGACTTCAGACCCGCCCTCTCGCCCTTGGCTGAAGGGCCCATCTTTCTCAGCTTTCAAGAGTTCCTTATTTCCTTGTGTCTGTCTAGTGATGGATGCCAAAGATGGCTTCTGTCTTTGCTTATATCTTCCAAAGTTCAGTGACTTTGTTTCAAGAGGCAGGATGAGCTCATGCTGTTCTTCCCTTCCTGTGGACTTCTCGCCCCTCTGCTGATTTCTATATAAATAGGGCTTCTCTTGTTTTTGGTTACACCATGCTTAATCTCATTGGAGACAGGTAGATAGCTGCCTTCGCTCCTGTTTGGGATGGATCCTGTTTCTCCCTGTTTGGTCCCCCGCCCTTTCTAGACCTACGAACCTTTGCAATGTATTCTTCTGAAGGTTATCCCTTCAAAGTAAATTTTATTCAGACTGAGAGGAAGGTGACATGGAGTCTGGTGGTGAAGGAAGCTCCATGCTGTTTTTTTTCCTTTGCTGGTGTTTGCTAAAATGCAAATTGTTCTGTTTCCTCCATTCTCCTCCCCCTGCTCTCTTGATGGTCCTGTTCACTGCTTATATGTAAATTGAGGCAAACCTACATTACTTTGTTTAGGACAGACCTATTTAACACCGTTACCTAGGCAACGCCACCTGGTCTTTCACATGTTCAAGTAAAATCATACTGGGGGAGTTAACTTTATATATAATGTTTCAACATACATTTTACCACGGTATTGCTGACCAGCAAGTTATTCGTTTTTAAATGATATCTCATAAGGCATATTTTGTACAAAAGATTTTCATAGTAATGTATAGGGTGTGAATACCTAGGTGCTTTGGGTCACAGGTGGATTATCATTAAAAGTCTTCTTTGCAGTGTTGTAGCCATATTGCACGCAGGATATGAGAGAGACAAGATAGGTAATGTAATATCTTTTTACTGGACCAATGTCTTGTTTCTCTCATTAAAAGGCTTCACAGTAAAAGTGTATTTCAAGGCGAGGCTTAAGTGAAGAAAGGGTGGTGGTCTTTTGGCATGCATGTATGGGACTGGAGTTCTGGGTGTGAGGAGCAGCATGGGAGAAGGTGTGAAGACAAGATACAGGAACCAGCTAGCATTTGGGAGAAGCATGAGCAATGGGAAGGAGAGTAAGAGTGTGTGTAAACATGCAGTGACTATAGAGTAGCTATGCATAGATTCCAATACTGGTTCAGTTTTTAGAAACGGAACCCCTCAGAAATACTTTGATTTCTTTACTTTATAAGGCCCTTTGATTTCTCTCTAAGGTGTGCTGCTGAATAACACAGAAAATGAGAGGAGATGTGAAAAAACAGGAGATCACTAGAGCTTGGGAGGAGGTAAATCTAGATTCAAGAGTGGGAGGATGAGAGAGCTGCAGCAAAAGAGCATGTGTTAGGGCAGGGATCTCAAACTCAAATGACCATGAGGGCCACATGAGGACTAGTACATTGGCCCGAGGGGCGCACCACTGACCACCCCCCCTGCTGCCCTGGCCCTTCTCCCACTCCACCCCTTCCATGAGGCCCCTCCCTGCCCCACCTCTTCCCACCCTTTCCCTGCCCCCATTCCAACCCCTTCCCTGAAATCCCCACCTCAACTCTGCCCCCTCCCTGTCCCCAGGGAGTGCAGGAGGGGTGCAGGGTGCGGCAGGGGGCTCAGGGCAGGGGGTCGGGGTGCAGGGTGGAGTGGGGTCAGGGTGCAAGGTGTGGCAGGCGGCTCAGGGCAGGGGGTTGTGGTGCAGGAGGTGTGCGAGGTGCGGCAGGGGGCTCAG